AGGGGCTCCAGCCACAGACACTTGGTCTTCATGGTTCTGGAGGCTGGAGGCCCTAGACAGAGGTGCCTGACTGAGTTCCCGGCGAGCGCACTCTTCCTGGTTTGAAGATGGTCATTTTCTGGCTGCGCACCCCCCACCCCCATGGCTGTGGGGGCAGGGTCATCTCTCCTCGCCCTACAGGTGCACCCACCTCATTGACGAGGCTTCACCCCGTGACCTAAGTACTCCCCAGAGGTCCCACCCCGCATACTGTCACGCAGGGGGGTTAGGTCAACACGAGCCCACAGCACTCTCAACCACTGCCCACGTCCAGAGGTAGGATTCGAGGCCCGTCACCCGGAGCCCCTCCTCGCGGCCCATCCCACTCTCCTCTCTTGCTTCCGACAAGGGTAGCCACACCGTGACTTTTACGGCAGTGTTTCTTGTTTCTTTGCGGTCACCGTTCACGTGTACATCCCTATTGTAGAGTTCGATCTTGCACATTAAAACTACGTGTTTCCTTTCAGTCTGCTCATCTACAGGCTTTTCCTCCATCTTTTTTGGTTTTGTTTTATTTTAAATAATTATTTTATTTAACTTTATTTATTATTATTTTCCAGTTTGATCAGCCAGAGAGAGAGAGAGAGAGAACGAGAAAGCAAGCCACCAGGTCCAGGACTTGAACCACAGTCAGCCATGTGGGAGTGTCCAGTGCCTTAACCACCGCACGACCTGCTGGCCCCCATCTTGGCTTTTTGATTGATTAGTTGAACTCTGCCGTCTGACTTGTAGCGTCCCAAAGTCTGGATGTTGCTGACGGCACACTCGTGGCGTGGCTCCACAAGTTACTCTGCTCCCTGCAGTGTTTTGCAGATTGGAAGCTAGACTCAGAGGCTCAGTCGAAGTTGTGTCCAATCCTTCTGGCAAGACTGTAAAGGGTTTTCCCTTTTCACCAGGAGCACGGATGCCTGCTGGTCTGTCTTTCTGTATGTTAGCTGTCAGAACTCAGCCCCTAGGCTCCCTGCTTCATTAGGCCTCACCAAACCAGGAAAGTGGGCTGGCCCTGTAGCACAGCCCTTCAGTGCAGTGCACTGGGAGCCACTTCCTACACAACCTCCTGCAGTTCGAATCCTGGCCCCACTGGCTCGGAAAACATGTCAGGCGCGTGTTGCCTGAAATCCTGACAGGAGAAAGAACGGAGGGAAGAGGATTGTGATGTGAGTGTGCCCCTCGTGGTGCTCTCTCCCCAGCAAGTGCACTTGCCCTCCAGGAAATGCTGAAAGTGCTTCATCTTCATTCTTATTTCTCAGTTAATGCTTGCTGAGACATTTCCCATTGTCTGTTGAAACAGTGCTGTAACAGAGGAAAGCAGAATAAGCATTTGAATCTTTGCATTTATTTAACATTTTTAAGGTAAACTGATTCCCTCTGAGTGTGTTCCCTTCTTTTTAAAAATAATTATTTTCCTTTACTATTCTTATTTTTAAATTTTCTATAGGGCACGTGCATTCACCAGAGAGAGCGAGCGAGAGAGCGCGCGAGCCGCCAGGGAGAGCCTCCTTACTCACTTCAGTAAGAGCCTCCGCCCCTCTGGCTGGGTCCTGAACCTCCCACCTGAGCCCGCAGCTGTTCCAGGCTCATGGAGAACTTTTCTTGCGCCAAGCCTGGAATTAAGCCTTCCTCAAGTAGCCATAGTTTCTCTCAGTAGGAAATGATACTTCGGGACCACGGTCTGGGTATTACGGATGCTATTTCTCCTAGGTTGTTCACTGGTTTTCGGCCTCTTCCCGGAGCCAGGAAGGTGTTTGTTTATTTACTCACACGCATGGCACATCGGAATGTGTGCAATTCGAGCCAACTGTAAAATTCAAGAGACAATCTCATGGCAACTTACACTAGTGCTGCTAATTCGGATTCAGACTGTAGGGTAGTTTTACTTCAATATTTTATCGGTATTTTCTCTCTCGCTGCAAGTCCTAGTCTGTAAGGTTACAGGGGACCATTGAATTGGAGTGTTCTGCAGTGACTCATTTGGATTATCTCAGGTGACGGTCCGGGATAATAGTAAGAACAGTACTGTAACTGAGACAGTGACCGGGAGGAGTTAGTCGTTCCTCCTTCACGTTCTCCTGGTTCCCCAGCCCTCTGCAGTGGCCCTGTATCCGTCCCTGATCTGGCCTCCTCTGTACATGCCCTCCCTTTCAGTCATGGCTTAGCCCTCCGCAGAAACCATCTGTCTGCTGTAGACCAAGGTTCTTCTGTCCGTATCCCTCCATTTTCAATGAATTAATTATGGGTTTTGCCTGAAGCTTATTTTTCAGTGGATTACTCAGTCACTCATGGGCAAAATTCCTCCCAAGTTCTTGCACGTTGGTAACAGTGAGTCTCAACTCTTTGTTCCTGAAAGGCATTTTGCTGGATATAAAATGCCTGACTTGGGCCTGCCCCAGGGCCTATAGGTAAGGCAGCTGGATCCTGCATAGCTGTCTGTGTGGTTCAAGTCCTAGACCTGGCAGCTTGAAAAACATGCGAGGCGTGTGTGTGTATGTGTGTGTGTTCACCCTGAATCCCCAGAGGAGGGAGAGAAGAAGTGACTGCAGTGTGACCGTACGCTGTGGGGGTGCTTTCCCTCAGTCTCTGGTGAGCACATGTACCCTATAGCAGGAAGAAAAGAAAGGAAAACGGAAAAAAAGCTCGGCTTATCTTTTCTTCCTTTGAATGCATTGCTTTATTTTTTCCTGGCATAGAGAAGGACCTTGCTCTCGAAGTCTGATACTAATTTTTCTTTCCCTTATAAGACTCCCGCTAGCTCTAGGTGCCAGGGGACTCCTTCCTCTCACCCTCCTCTCGCCCTCCGTCCTTACCTCTCTCTTTGTTCCTCCCCCCCTCACTCCCTCCCTTCCTTCCTTCCTTTCTTTTTTCTACTTTACTGAAATAAGTCTTAATCATTCTAGTTTAACATTTCCAACACCTTTATTCTTTTGATTGTATTTTGAAACTTTTTTCATTTCAAGGAAAAGGTTTTTAATTGCAATGGTTAATATTAGTTTTGTTTTCTTGCTTTGATTTTCCAAGGACTCCTGTTGTATGTCTGTTGGGTCATCTTTGCCTGTTTTTAGTATCTGTTGCTATCTCAAATCCTTTATAGCTCTTTCTTGTTTTTTTATTTATTTAATTTTTTAAAATTTTTATTTATTCATTCATTTATTTTTAATTTGACAGAGAGAGAGACACAGAGAGAGAGAGAGACAGAGAGAAAGGAAGTGAGAAAGCAAGCCACCAGGCCTGGGACTCAAACCATGATCAGCCATGTGGGAGTGTCCAGCGCCTTAACCACCATGCCACCTACTGGTCCCTTAATTTTTTTTTTTTTTAGTTTTAGTTTTAGTTTTAGGTTTTTGCTAGGATGAGACAGAGAGAGAGTGCAAGTGAGGAATCAGTTCCCCCCAGAGGGGATGGCCATGCCGCAATCCTTATCGTGCCCTTGGAATTTGGGGCACGCACGCACACGGTGTAATTTTCACGGTGCCAGGTCCACAGCCTGAGCCACACAGTGCGCCGTGCGAGATCCAGCTGCTGTAACCTCTGCGGCACCTGTCGGCCTTAGCTCTCCCTTTTTAAGTTAAGTTTGTTTCCTGTTCTTCACCTCCTGTCTCTCTTGTAATACTATCTGTTTTACTACCTCTTTCCTGGCTTTTAGTTTCATTTCTGAATCGTGTACTTTGTTCTCTGATGATTTCCTTAGTCTTTTTGTTTGAAGTAGGAGGACCTTGTTTTGTTTGTTTGTTTTTTGCAGGGGCCGTGCAAGGAGGTCTATATTTTGGCTCGATTCCAAGTTTATAAGGAAGTTATTCTTTTTTTTTTTTTTTTTTTGGGGTGTTTTTTTTCCTTTCCAGATAGCCAGGATCACAGGTATACATGCGAGTGCCTAGTGCACAAGTCAATTCAAGAAACAAACACTGATTGTCCATATGGCTTTCAGCATTGCTGAGCATTGCACCACCATATTGCACTATTGTGGTTAGGTCAGAGATTCAGAAATTATGTATGCATTTTTAAGTTTATTTATCTATCCCTCCTATGAGAAAGGAAGACAGAAGTAGAGAGAGAAAAGAGAGAGGGAGAGAGAAAGAGAAATAGGTAGAACCAACATCTTCACATTGCCATGTTATCCCTAGCCTTAGTCAGTCAGGATTCTGGGTGTATAAGCGTGCCTTGCATACAAAGTGAGACCCTGGGACATGAACACAGGATGTTTCCATATGGCCTAAGCATCACAGGGTATGACATTATCACTCTGCTATTGCAACTGGTCCCAGAGTTTATATTTTTAATATCTGAACTCTACTGCCTCTCTGAGCTAGACATAGAGAAGCATATAATAACATTCTATCTTTTTTTTTTTTTGGAGAGATTTTTTCACTATAGGGCGCGTGTGCTCGCCAGACAGACAGAGAGAGACATAGAGCTAGAAAGCGAGAAATCACCCCCCCAGGGGGGATGGTCACGCCGCAATCCCTTCTCCTCCATTCTCTCGGGATCTTGGGCACGCACGCACACGCCCCCGGCGTGAGTTTTAAGCCACTGGGTCCGGGACTTGAACCGCGGTCAACTACGTGGGAGTCCAACGACATAGCCATTACGCTAACTGC